ATATGCAAATTGTGTTCCCTGCGTGGTTCTCAAAGAGAGCTTGGGCTGCCTGTGGTGTTCCAAGGGCCTTCTGTTCAAGGGAAAAAGAGACATCGCCGTCACTTGAACTCTAAAATTCAATGAAATCAAAGACCCGACAAGATTTCTGCACAGCTCGATGTACAATTGGACGAAAGAAGACAATGGCATACCACTCGCTAATAGATTACATTTTGGACAACGGCGTTGTTTTAGAATAGTATGGCGTTATACGGAAACATTACTAAAGAAACTACAGAAAAGATGGGCCAAGTATCCTATTGACATTTCTCGTTGATAGATACAATATTCATGTGTTACTGACCAAGTGCGAGGTCAAGATGGCTGGATAGTGTCCTTGTCCTTGTTTTGCGCTTTTATGACCGATGGACCTCGACTTCGTCCCTTGTTTGTCAAGAAGATTACGCTTTGATGAGAATCAAGACTGACTTGTTTATTTCAAGAGCAGGTTGGGAAGAAAGCCAACTATTGTTGTTGCACAACAATGAGAGTAGTTTATGTTTTCTTTGTTTTGACTATTTTCTGCCGCTTTTTTGCAACTCCATCGCCGAAATTGTCGAAAAATTAAACTTTGTAAGTCCATACGACACAATTTTTTCTTGCGCTGGATCATGCGATCAAAGCGCATCATGTCAGTTCGAATAGCCAACTAGAACACAGGATTCGCATCATATCATTCAAGTGAACTTTCAGCTGCTGTATTTCTAGCCTGCAGAACAGGTGGATTAGCGGGGCCGAAGGGTGATACACGAGCGCACGCGATTATTATTTTTTTTTCCCGTCTTCCCTCGCGCGGGACTCTCACTTGGCGCTGCCTCGCGCTTTTCTCCGTCAGACTAAATAACACACAAAAAAAACTACACCCTTCAGCAAGCTACCGAATTTCCTCAAAAGCGACCAAAAAAAATAGATAGTGTAGCATTCGCATTGATCTGAGTTAGCGTGCTTCGCTTCACGACCTCCCTTCAAGTCACATTACAGTCTTTCACCTTTTTGTATTAATCGATTCACTTTCGGGTTTTCCTTTCTAACTAGACTAACATATCTGATTGATTTTCCGCACGTCAAAGATTATTTTGCTCTTCAAATAACTCAAAATGCCTGTTGAGAAGGACTGATAACTGGGTTGTTTATAAGTGTTGAAAGTTAACACGTTTTACCGTTGCATTTCCACCTTGTGACGTGTCCATTGATTGCAATATTCAACATCACATGAAAGGCTTTTAGACTGTCAGATTAGTGTTTCTACAGAGAACGTGATTAAAGCTTGATGTTATTCCTGACCACTGGCAGCTATTTGTCAACGCTGTCACAACTAACCTTAAATCTCTTTGGTAATAACGAATTTTGTGGAGAACACACAAAAAAATCTTGTTCAATAGAACCTGGTTTATAGCAAATAGTAAGAAGTTTTCTTTTCAAACAAAAGGACAAAGTCAAGTCCGGGGGAAGAGGGGGGGGGAGAGCCGCATTATCTAAATTTTAATAACAGCAATAATACATATTCTCTACACACTGTTCTGGAAAGAGTAGATGCTTGTCACTCATTTGTGTTTAATGAAAATCAAGGAAAGTTTTGTGAGGGTCACATAGTGATCATGTTCCTGGTAAAATCCCTTCATTTGGCTGTCTTGTTCAAGAAATAAAAGACTAAATTAATAGATTATGGTATACCGAAGATTATGGTACACTTCAGATGGGATAATTTAGTAGAATGAGTTCTAAAGCGCGGATAATGCACCATCAAATTCCATACAGACCCTTGGTTCAAGTCGCAAAGAAATTTAAAAGACTTATAAATCCACCCTGAGCAGCATTTGACGCGTTTCTTAACCAAACCTTTCCCCCACGCCGCCCTTCTGAGGGCTGATGGAGTGCATGGAATATTTAATCAAATTGATTATTTCAAGGGGTGGATTTTGTTTAGATTCTTAGTGCATTAGTAATCTTTCTTGGCAGTACTCGACGGAAACAAGAGATTGTAATCTCTAAATAAAATGAATATGATTCGTAATATGTACAAGAGCGTTTTCGGGGCATTTTTTTTTAAGTAAAAACTAATCATGTATCGTTCCATTTGCAAACAGCTGCCTAGTAACGATTTAGTTTTACTTCATTCACTTAGCGCGGACGAATGAAACCTTTCACTCTCAAGATCTCCTTAGTACTTCTCCTTACTGTCTACCAAACAATTGTTATGATGTTCGTTTGGAGAATTTGGTAATGGATCAACGGATAATCCCCTCATTGACCTTTTTCCTTTATTCTCATTACTTTTCTGCTTGATGTTGTATTGATATGGTAAGGAGAAACTCTGTCTTGATCATTAAACGAGGCCGTCAAAGGGTTCACGGTTGACAAAGCCTCGGCAAGTCGGTTTGAACTGTCCCCCCAGATAATCGTTGAATCTGGAAGCATTTATGCATTTGGAAAAAAAAAACCACGCGAAGTTTTATAGCGGTACGTGAATACTCAGATCTATTTCTGAATAATGTTTGTTCAACTAAAAGGAAGGAAAAAAAAGAAATGAAAAAAGGAAGCAAAGTTGTCAGTTTTAACTCTCAAGTTACCTGACACTTAACACTTCTAATTTATTGTTTAGAATATTTTTAAGTACGTTAGGTGTGCAAAAACTTCAGTAACTCAAAGGAGATCGAATCGAAAGAAAAACATTTCTCTCCCTCGAAGAGGAGTTCACGCGGAGCTACAGGTAACAAGCGCATTATTCTTTGGAAATCGATCGGTAAAGGAAGACATGTTGTATTTTTGTTTAATATATAACACATTTTACCCAAAATGTGTGCTTAAAATGCTCAAAAAAATCAATCTTTTTCCCACAACAAATTAAACTAGATTTCGCAAGAAATATATACTCAGTTAGGTAGAGTAATAGTGGTTTTCAGGTAACTCATAGGTAAAAGAATGATTGCGTTGGTTTTGTCGGATGAATAACTCATAAAAGCACTGTTATTTTTGGCCTGCTACATACAGGAGACAAAATTGGATCATGGCGTGCGGGAAATATTTTCATTGATGAAGAATATTTTGAACTGACCCCACCAATTTGACAGAACTCTTTCAAGGGTCGACAATTCATCGGACAAACTATTTCAGGGCTGTTTACTTTTTTATTCACTTTCTTCAACTGAAAGGGACTAAAGCAAACATGAATCTGCCGTAAATGTCTCTGCAAGTTTACAGACTATGCAAATATTCGTGATTGCAATGAATAAAAAATATTCTCTGACAAGCGTAGATTGTTAATTCGCGACATTCGGTTAATATAATTTTCCAACTTTATATTTGACCGTCAAAAGGATTAGATTTTGGTTATATCTTAGGGCGACTATAAGGTAGTAACTTTGTCCGAAATCTCTGGATAAAACTGCCAGATGCCGTAAATTTGTCATTTTTAGCTAAATTTTGATAGGCGGTTCATTTTTCTTTTGTACCATTGTTCGGGAAGGCTTTATCTGATACCCATTTACCACCCTTTGAGGAAATATCATCCCCTAACGGCTTAATGATGACTTATCTGTCTTTGATCAGATTATTTTCTTTATCGTGCTTCGGCCCACTCTGTTTGTGCGCGGGACCCTTCTTAAAAATACAAGTAACACACGCGAGTGACACGCGAGTGACACGCGAGAGATGTCGGTCGGCCACTCAGTTTACGCGTCTAATCTTATGGCCAAAATTTCCTATAAGAATTGGTGGAGCTTTTCCAAACCATTCAAAACCATTTTAAATTAAACATATTTTAATTTTCTTCAGAGCTTTTCCCGGTGTTGAAAGTTAACTAAACTACTGGAAAATGTTCAAAGCGGTCTTGGGTAAAAAAGGATCCATTCTAACTTTCTGAATTTAAATTCAACCTTTTCACCTTTCTTCAATTGCTTTCAAAACTTGTTATGATATAATATGAACCTTATCCGTGTTAGATATATTGCAGCCATAAGATATCATCTGAAAGTGGTTATGACTAATCAATTTTCCAGTTAATTATTTTCTTTTAATAAAACTGAGGTTGTAAAGTGGAGCGACAATTTTGAACTCATTTGGGTTTACGGTAATATTCACAACTGCTGTTATTGGTTCGCAGATCTGATCTAGGGTTTTAAAGTGGAGCGACAATTTTGAATTCATTTGGGTTTGTAATATTCAGCAATGCTATTTTTGGTTCGCAGGTCTGAAGAAAAAAAACAATTCAGTTCGGACAAATTTTCCGAGAAGGAAGAGCAATTGACACGGGGCAGCGTTAACATTTACTTAGTTAAGCACACAGCTCTCAACCTTCTAAATTAATATTTTGGCAGTTTTGAACAATTAAAACGTATCTACAATTATGTCTCGCTTGCCAAGTATTGCAAATTAACTGACAGAAGACATAGCTATCTCCGGTTACGTGGCGTAAAAGTTGGAAAGGAAATGAAAAAGACGATAAACAAAACTCTTGTTTTGACAGGCAAAGACCTGCCAATTGGAATGGCTTTGGCAGCAAACGAGTTGGGTCTGTCATGTTTCAACGATAAAATGTGAATTATTTGAAAATTTTCTCAAGATTGTCCTGTGCGATTAACTTTTGTTTGAGAATCAAGTCTTTATTTTACCTTCGTTAATACTGAATTTCTATCACTAAGACGATAATAGTTATGATCATTTGGATCTTCCGAATGTTAAGGGTTGTTTTACGCATTTCTTTTTTTTTTTTTTTTCTTTGTCATTACTATTAATTTCACTACCAATCTCAAGTTTAGCTTCATTAACGCAGCGGATAAATGACGGGTACCTCAAACACTGACAAAAATTAGATATATTCTTCCCTCGTGCTAATAAATCATTGAATCATCAAACAAAATGTGCAAATTCAAACGAAGGATAATTTTTAAACTGAAAAAGAACTTTCTCCCTTTTTTAGAAAATTGACACAAACACAAGTTGAATAATTGATGAGTTCGCACTGAGCCACAAGCAGTTTAATTTGTGTTTGTATCATACTGAGGTATTGCAAATTTCTGCCGGTATCTGGGAAAGAATTCAAAAGCTGAAGCGATAAAAAAAAGATTTTCCGTCAACAAACCTGTGTCTGCAAGCTTGGAAACGAAAAATTTGCGGTGCCGTAGAACAGGTTCTAACTCTGATAATTTTTAATGCAAAGTGACGGAGCAGGTACGTTTTTCTCATATTGCTTTTATTCACCATTCTTTGGTCGATAGATTAGAATTTCCCGGCATGCGCAGGATAAGAAGAATTGCAATACCCGTCTGCTGCTAAAGTGCGACAGTCCATTTCAAGTTGTTTTACAAATTTATGTACCAAGTACAACGTGAAATTGATATGGAATAAGTTTTTTAATTCTAGAACCAGTCATATTTCGATTAATTCTCTCTTGTTTTACCTTCATTTTTATATAAATTACAACAAGGATATTGGCATATATGAAAATCATGTCATAAAAGTCAAGAAAATTTTCTCAACATTGATTATAGTTGAATCATTTCACACTTCGGGTACTTCAAGGACGAATAAATTATTCTTGTACGTACGTATTTTAAATAACGCTGGTTTCTCTTTTGCTACCAGTATCTTGTTTCCATGTACAGTGTAGATATTTTCATCTTTGAAAACCGACAGTGGTAAATCAGTTTGACTTTATTCGTCTCCCAAGATTCATTAAAACCAAATTTCTTTAAGCAGTTCTTTTACAATTATTTACCCATACAAATGAATAATTAGAGACTGGCAACTTTGTCCACCGACGCAATGCTGCAAAGTTACACTTTTACGGTTAATTCTGGAAAGAGCAAGTTTTTTTCGGAAAGATGACGGTTTGAGACGCTTTGGTTCAGCAGAGTGAGCGCAGAGGATTGGAGATCTGCAATGCCCGGCCGGCGTCACTGTGTTTTGTTCTTGGACAAGACACCGTATTCTCCCTTGATGACATTTATTTTTATAAACAGGAACATATCTGCCAGAAAACATTCTAGAAATCTTTTCAGCCAATTGCTGCTTTCTCAGAATTGCATTTGTTTACTTCGGTAAAAATGCTCCATTGCGCGCGAACGTGATATCCAGTTTGGGATCACATCTTTAGAAAGAGACTACTGGGATCGCAGTCACATCTTACATAGTTTGATCAAGCACAATTTCTCTTGGTTTCACTTAACCACGGGTAGTTAAACCTGAATAAAAAACGTATTTTCAGATCTTAAATATTTTTCTTCAAGGAACTTTATATAGACTCCAAGTGAAGGACCTGTTTTGTTGTGATCACTCAAGGTTCACTTAACCAGGTGTTTGTTTAAGCAGAAATTAAAATAATGTTGTTTTGCATTCGATATATATTTTTTCTTTGATAGTTTTAAGTAATTTTTTTTGCGATCGCCATTTTGGCTATAGTTCGAAAGGGCAATTAATAATTTTAGTGGGCAAGAAGTTCTTTTTCTCGACAAGGTACAACTACTATGGAAAGAATAAAAACAACCGCGCATACAAATGTTAATTGTTATCACCAGCTGGAGAAGAGGAAATTTAACACCTTTCGGCGCAATACAATTTGCAGACATGTGATAATGAGGTCGAAGCTTGATTAAATTTTAAAAGAAGAAAAAATTTTAAGAGACAATTAATGCGTATGATGCACGATCCTCGCAGTAGATAGCGCTATTTAAGCAATAGCGAAAATCAGACCTGAAAAAAATCAGGCCTGTACGGGACTCGAACCACTGACCTCTGCAATACTAGTGCAGCGCTCTACCAATTGAGCTAACAAGCCAACTGGGAGCAGGTCGTTAAGTTGATTCGTAATAAACCCGTGAAAGTGATAAATCAGATACAATGAAATATATGAAGTTCATATATTTCATTGTATCAGACAATTAATGCTTACAGAATCGTGCTAAATATTATCAGCCGCCGAAAGGTTTATCTTTTGACCCCCAAGATCTAATTAGGAATTCTCCCTACTTACGTCCATACTTTTTCGCGTAAATTAGTCAGGAGAATTCGGTCTTATTCCCAAATAAACCCTCTAGCTGATGAACCTGTCTGTTTTTCATTACCTGTCTACAAGATGACATATTGCAATTGTTTGGAGACTTTACATGTAAATCACTTGTGAGAGTTAAAAAGGCTAATCGAATAGCTTACGAAGGCTGTGTACATTATCGCAAAGCTCGTTCAACGTTCGTGATAACTCAGGCCTATTACAGTATTTCCGTTTGTGATTACCTAATCTGTACGCTGTGTTTGCACCCGCATTTGAATCACCCTAACTGTACTTCTATTTCTTGCAGTGCTCTGTTCATGGGAAGCACTGCTCCTTGTTTCTCTTTTGGGCGGCACGATAAGGTAAGTGTTTTATCATGTTACTTTTGCACTTAAGTAACAACGTTGGTAGCCGGCGAGGCAAGCGTTACTTCTTTTAGGGGTTCAGGGAAAGGG